AGCTCGTGGCCGTAGCGCGCGGCCACGTGCAGCGGCGTGTTGCCGTCCTTGTCCACGCAGTCGATCTCACCGCCTGCAAGACATTTGAACGCGGTTACGCGGGCCTCGGCTCCGCTCCGGGCCCAGGCGGCTTCTCCCCGCGCAGGCTAACCACGCTTCAGGGGACAGGTCGCCGCGGCTTTGATGGTCTCTCATACTGTCACGGTTAGCGATCTAAAACCTCACGGCGAGACGGCAGATCCAAACCAATACAAGTGGATTCCATGAAATGTAACTACAAGGGCCAGAGAGAACAGGGAGTTCAGGGATAGACTTCACGTGGTTTCATGATCTAGGATAAAATACGCATGAGTAGCAGTATAAAGTATAAGCTGAAAATGCCTGGAGTTAGGAAAGCTATCGTGTTTTCTGAAATTCTTTTAATAAGGTAGTTTCAAATAGTCTTCTAATTTTGCCTTTTCTCCCAAGTTTTTATTTCACATTTCTTTCCCTCCTCTTTCCTTCCTGTGTGTGTAAATGCAATTTACCTGTTTATTCGTTTGTCTGAGGACCATTTAAAAATAAGACAGACACCCTAACATCACACCCCATCATGTTTCTCCTAAGAACAAAGACAGAACGCTCCACCACTGTGCCCAGGACCTGAGCACTAGTAAGATTTTGTGCAATATTCACAGCACACTCATTTCTCCAGGGCTCGCAAAATGTGCTTTATCTGGTTCTGTTGTTGGCAAATCTGGGATCCGATCAAAGACTCCAGCCGAGGGCAGTTGGCTGCCATACTTTTTCGGTTTCTAGTAATCAAAAGCTCTCTTCCTTCCTTTTACTTCCTCACTTTTTGGCTCTCGCCTGTGGCCACTGTTCAAAGGCCCCGCCAGGGTTGGGTAGGAAGTCTGGCCTCTGGAGCTGCCCCATGGTTCCCTCACTGTCACATCTGGGCCAGGCCCCTCCGAGTGCCAGGGACTGCGTGGTGCCCCTATGGGTGAGGCAGTGTTTGATTCTTGACACTGGGCACAGAGTTTCGGGATGGCTGGAGATGGGTGGCGGAGATGATAGCACAGCATAGATGTGATAATGCCCCTGAACTGTTAATTCTCAGACGTGGTCAAGATGGCAAATTTTATGTTATGCACACTTTACTTCAATTAAAAAAAGAATGGCTAGGGCGGGGGATTTAGCTCAGCGGTTCAGTGGCCTGCCTCACAAGCGCAAGGACCCGAGTTCAATCCCCGGTACCAAAAACAAACAAACAAACAAACAAACAAAAAAAGAATGGCTAGCACACTCTAGTGCAAAAATGTCTTTCTTTCCCCCTTTGTAATTAAACAGATCTTGCGGTGGCACTTGGAGACTAAATACCAGATTCCAAACACACTTTGTCCTGGGGGCTTTAGCACCGACGGGGAAGGAGCACTTTTTTCACAAGTCCCCTGAATTCTTTATCTGTGTGCTTCTAGTACCATTTTGTTGTTGTTGTTTTGTTTTGTTTTGTTTTGGTGCCGGGGATCAAGCTCAGGTCCTTGCGCTTGCAAGGCAGGCGGCGAAACTACTGAGCTAAATCCCCGGCCCTCCTAGTACCATTTTGACATATGGTTAGGTTCCTTTTATTCTGCGTGTAATACAATTTTTTACTAGGCTTAATTCATTTTAATGTGTAAAATATTTACATGTTCCAAAAGTCAAAACTGCATTTTTCAAAAGCCTCCTTCCAATTTCTCGTACTTTGTCCTCACCGACATCCCATGACAATCATTAGTTTTGGTTTATGTTTCTCGTGTTTCTCTTGGCAACCCCCCCATCCTGGAACTCACTGAGGGATTACTTCCTGAAGGTCACCTCTTTTTTGTGCTGCTTCGTTTTCCTCCACAGGGAGGTGCACGTGTGCACTCGTGGCCAGTGGATTAGGCTGCCACACCTGGCTGTGCCGGGACAGTGCCATGACCAACCATACCTGACAACAGTGGTGGCAGACCTACAGCACACATGCTATTCGTTTTCCTCTTAAGACAAAAGATGTTAATATATAATTTTTTTTTCTAAACTAAAATTTCAGTATCAGGTCTAATTGCAGTGTGGGCACTTTGGAATAAATGAAGTGGGTTCAGGGCTGCAGCTTGGGCGCTTGGTCTCTAAAAAGTTCGCCATTGCTGGCTTCGTGTGAATGCCTTCCAAGGGGACTTCCAAGTTAGAGGATGAAGGAACCTGTGGCTTTGTCAGATCATTTTTTTCTTTTTTGCCACATGTCCTGTGTAGAACTCTAACCAGAACTGTGAGGGGCTCTCCCCTAGCCCTGGTCCAGCTTTTAACTATCTGCCATCTGATGAGCAATCACTGATATTCCAGGGGGCTTCATTTCATTTCTCTTCCTACAAAGGAAGGTGCACGTTTTCATATATTGAAACTGTGCCCAGGACCTGAGCACTAGTAAGATTTTGTGCAATATTCACAGCACACTCATTTCTCCAGGGCTCGCAAAATGTGCTTTATCTGGTTCTGTTGTTGGCAAATCTGGGATCCGATCAAAGACTCCAGCCGAGGGCAGTTGGCTGCCATACTTTTTCGGTTTCTAGTAATCAAAAGCTCTCTTCCTTCCTTTTACTTCCTCACTTTTTGGCTCTCGCCTGTGGCCACTGTTCAAAGGCCCCGCCAGGGTTGGGTAGGAAGTCTGGCCTCTGGAGCTGCCCCATGGTTCCCTCACTGTCACATCTGGGCCAGGCCCCTCCGAGTGCCAGGGACTGCGTGGTGCCCCTATGGGTGAGGCAGTGTTTGATTCTTGACACTGGGCACAGAGTTTCGGGATGGCTGGAGATGGGTGGCGGAGATGATAGCACAGCATAGATGTGATAATGCCCCTGAACTGTTAATTCTCAGATGTGGTCAAGATGGCAAATTTTATGTTATGCACACTTTACTTCAATTAAAAAAAGAATGGCTAGGGCGGGGGATTTAGCTCAGCGGTTCAGTGGCCTGCCTCACAAGCGCAAGGACCCGAGTTCAATCCCCGGTACCAAAAACAAACAAACAAACAAACAAACAAAAAAAGAATGGCTAGCACACTCTAGTGCAAAAATGTCTTTCTTTCCCCCTTTGTAATTAAACAGATCTTGCGGTGGCACTTGGAGACTAAATACCAGATTCCAAACACACTTTGTCCTGGGGGCTTTAGCACCGACGGGGAAGGAGCACTTTTTTCACAAGTCCCCTGAATTCTTTATCTGTGTGCTTCTAGTACCATTTTGTTGTTGTTGTTTTGTTTTGTTTTGTTTTGGTGCCGGGGATCAAACTCAGGTCCTTGCGCTTGCAAGGCAGGCGGCGAAACTACTGAGCTAAATCCCCGGCCCTCCTAGTACCATTTTGACATATGGTTAGGTTCCTTTTATTCTGCGTGTAATACAATTTTTTACTAGGCTTAATTCATTTTAATGTGTAAAATATTTACATGTTCCAAAAGTCAAAACTGCATTTTTCAAAAGCCTCCTTCCAATTTCTCGTACTTTGTCCTCACCGACATCCCATGACAATCATTAGTTTTGGTTTATGTTTCTCGTGTTTCTCTTGGCAACCCCCCCATCCTGGAACTCACTGAGGGATTACTTCCTGAAGGTCACCTCTTTTTTGTGCTGCTTCGTTTTCCTCCACAGGGAGGTGCACGTGTGCACTCGTGGCCAGTGGATTAGGCTGCCACACCTGGCTGTGCCGGGACAGTGCCATGACCAACCATACCTGACAACAGTGGTGGCAGACCTACAGCACACATGCTATTCGTTTTCCTCTTAAGACAAAAGATGTTAATATATAATTTTTTTTTCTAAACTAAAATTTCAGTATCAGGTCTAATTGCAGTGTGGGCACTTTGGAATAAATGAAGTGGGTTCAGGGCTGCAGCTTGGGCGCTTGGTCTCTAAAAAGTTCGCCATTGCTGGCTTCGTGTGAATGCCTTCCAAGGGGACTTCCAAGTTAGAGGATGAAGGAACCTGTGGCTTTGTCAGATCATTTTTTTCTTTTTTGCCACATGTCCTGTGTAGAACTCTAACCAGAACTGTGAGGGGCTCTCCCCTAGCCCTGGTCCAGCTTTTAACTATCTGCCATCTGATGAGCAATCACTGATATTCCAGGGGGCTTCATTTCATTTCTCTTCCTACAAAGGAAGGTGCACGTTTTCATATATTGAGGCACCATTTGTTTATCTTTTTCTATGAACTATTTCTTATGACTTTTGCCCATTTTTCTAAGTGTATGTATGTGTGTAATCTTTTATATTTTGATTTTTGATACTTTTAAACATTTGGGACATTATGCATTTACTAGTAATGCATTTCACAAATATTTTCCACAAGATTTTTTTGCTTTTTTCTTTTAGTTTGTAATATATCCTGTAAAATTTGAAAATAATTTATACATCTTTTATTTTATTTGGACTGGAAGTCATTTTTAGGAAGGCTTCCTCCACAACCTGGAGACAAAGAAATCAACACATGTTCTCTACTGGAAAGGGTTCGTTTGTTAGACTGAAACATTTGATCCAGTTGGAGGTTGTTTTGGTGACGGTGTCTCAGCTGGCTGTCTAAATAAATGTTCCCTGAATGCCAGAAAGAATCAAAGTCCAGAAAAGGGCTTGAACAATTCACAGAGACAGAAAATACATTAGTGGTTGTCAGGGTCCAGGGAGGGAGGAATGGGGAGTGACCACTAATGGTTGGAGGTTTCTTTTTGGTATGATGAAAATGTTCTAGGATCAAATGGTGATGGTTTGGGCAATGTCGGGGAAATATTAAAGTGCACTGAATTTAATAATTCACTGCTTTAAAGTGGCACTTTTATGATATATGGATCATACCTCAAAAAGAAAGAACCTAACAAAAGCTACAGAAAAAAGAGAGGGTAAGTAGAGGGAGACACACCAAGGGAAGGGGGAACCAAAGTGGGCACTTGTGCTTCTCTAAGCTAAGCGGCTCTTAACGTCAACAAAACATATAGTGTGCGGGGTCTCAGAGCAAGGCACTCTGAGGCTCTGTTTCTTGGTTTTCTTTTCCAGGAATAAATCTCTGCATCATATGGAAAGCTTTAAATTTC